TAAGTATATACATATAGATTAAGGTGGTCCTAATTATTGAAATTTTAAAATATACGATATCTTATCCAACTCTTTCTCCATTTTGCTAAATGATTCATGAAAATAAATTTGGTTTTAATTACTCACCTTCTTCATCTTGAAAGTTTGAATTTCTGTTAGTGTTGGTTATATCATCAGCTTCAGAGTCATTGTTATCGGTATCCATTAAAACAGTTTCAACATTAAAATTATCACCACTTTTGACACCGATAACAATCTTTTCTATATAAGTATTACCATCATCATCATCATCTTTGAGAAATAACCTGATTGTCCTTTTATTACCATTATCATTTTCGGCTTCGTGTCCGGAATCATTGTCCATACCTTCCATCACTGTAAAACCAAACGTAATCAATATTCGTATTATTACAAAATATTATCCCTTAATGACTAAAAAATTCATGGGTAGGGTACTGATTAGTTGTGGGGATTTTCCTAATTAGGTTTCAATGAAGCATCTAATGCGAAAAACCGAAATATAGTTGCAAAATGAAAATTGGAAAATGAAAGAAATGTAGAAAATGGCTCAAAACATTTTGGCCTTCTTTTTTTCTGTGGGCAGCTTTTCTACTATCAATCTGGCTCAAACTAATAATGATAGCAATATTAATAAAAGGAAAGTTTACTAGGGAGATACTTTAAAGAAATCAATTTTGGATTTACTCAAGAGTTTTCTCATTAAATGGGAAAAACTAGGAAAAAAATACGAAAGCTTGATAATTGTAGGTTTCCTATTTAGTAGGAAAAATAAAAAAAGACAATTTTAAAATACTTTCTGGTCGGATTTTCTTTCAGAAAAAGTGCTACCATTGTAATTTAAAGCAAAATAGCTTGCTGGAAAGTCTTTACTAGAAAAATAGCCATAATAATTTTTTTTATAGCTTATACCTACATTTCAAATATATCCGTTCCCCCCTCCGTATTAATTATTTGGTTTGTCAAATGTTTTAAGAAAATGTCCAGGAAAATCAAACCTCTTTAAAGTACAACCCCAGTAAGATTTACTCTCATAAAATGAGCTAAACTTGAATATCAGAGGAAATTATCTGGTTAACAAAAAAAAAAACAAAAAAAAAAAAACAGACATCATAGTAAAACAAATACATTCGTCCACTCAAAATTTAAAACCGTGTTTAATTATAACTATATAAAATATTTAAAAGTAAATAAATATTTCAAATCAATTTCTAATGTATAGGTCACTAAACAACAACCTTTGGATTTAAGACAAAAGCGATTGAATCTTATAAAGAATACAAAATTAAAATCGTTGTGTGATTATATAAATTAATTTATGAATTATATGAACTACTTGTAATCTTTCTGCAGTTAGATCTAATAAATTCATAAAAATAAGTATATACATATAGATTAAGGTGGTCCTTATTATTGAAATTTTAAAATATACGATATCTAATCCTACTCTTCTCTCAATTTGCTACATGATTTATGAGAATAAATTTGGTTTTAATAGCTCAACTTCTGCATCTTGAAGGTTCGAATTCTTGTTTATTTTTATAGTATCATCAGCTTCGGATTCTTCAGTATCGGAATTTATTGCAACAGTGTAATCATTAACATTATCACCACTACTGGTACAGATAAAATTAATTTTTTCATTGTCATTCTTACCTTCACTACTGAGACATATATCGATTATATTAATATCGTCATTATTTTGACTGGCTGCGTGTCCGGAAACATTGTCCATACCTTCCATCACTGTAAAACCCAACGTAATCAATGTTCTTATTTTTACAAAATATTATCTATTAATGATCGACAAATACATGGGTAGGGTACAGTTTAGTTATGGTGATTTTTTGAATTATGTATCAATGTATCACTAAATGAGAAAAATCGAATAAGAGTTGCAAAATGAAAATTGGAAAATGTAAGAAATGTAGGTAATGGCTCAAAGTACTATGGCTTTCTTTTTTCAGGTGGATAACTTTTTGATCTGGTTCCAACTTATAATAATAGCAATATTTCTAAAAGGAAAGTTCATTAGTGAGATACCTTAAAAAGATCAATTTTGGATTTGCTCAAGCGTATTCTCAGTATATGTGAAAAACTAGGAAAAAAATACGAAAGCTTGATAATCGTAGGTTTCCTATTTATTGGGAAAAATANGCTCAAAGCACTATGGTTTTCTTTTTTCAGGTGGATAACTTTTAGATCTGGTTCCTATTCATAATAATAGCAATATGTCTAAAAGGAAAGTTCATTAGTGAGATACCTTAAAGAGATCAATTTTGGATTTGCTCAAGCGTTTTCTCAGCAAATGTGGAAAACTAGGAAAAAAAAATATGAAAGCTTGATAATCGGAGGTTTTCTGTTTATTGGGAAAACTAAAAAAAACATTTTAAAATACTTTCTGGTCGAACTTTCTTTCAGAAAAAGTGCTACCTTTGTAATTTGAAGCAAAATAGCCGGTAGAAAAGTTTTTCCCAGATAAAAAGCCATAATATTTTTTGTTAGTTTATACCTACATGGTATGGACAATGGTCACTAAACAACAGCCTTTTGATTTAAGGTAAAAGCAACTGAATCTTATCAAGAATACAAAATTAATTTTGTTGTGATTATATAAATTAATTTATGAATTATATGAACTACTTGTAATCTTTTCTGCAGTTGGATCTAATAAATTCATAAAAATAAGTATATACATATAGATTAAGGTGGTCTTAATTATTGAAATTTTAAATTATACGATATCTTATCCAACTCTTTCCTCATTTTGCTAAATGATTCATGAAAATAAATTTAAAATAAACATTTTAAAACCGCGTTAAATTTTGGTTATAATTATTTACTTTGTTCATTTGTGTAGTGAGGGTTGAGAATAGTGGAATTATCGATAATATCCTTACCATCGTTATCCTTACTACTAGAATAGATTTCCATCATATGATCATTTCCATTTTTTTGATCCGTTACATTGATCACCGGGACTATTGGTTTAGTCCATGGCCATGGACTCAACCTCCCTGCTTCACTATCCAAGAAACCTTTTTTCTTTTTCCGTAATTGCGTATTCATATAAGATGGTTCGACCTGTTGATCTGTCGCGGGACGTTTACCGTTTGAGGCACCCGGAACCATATTTTGCTGTATATTGCCATCACAAATCAAATCGTCTATACCTTCCATCCCTGTAAAATTAAACTTTATTATTATTATTAATATAATATATATATATATTATATTTATTATTATTTTAATTAAAATTAAATTGATTAATTAATCAATACATATTATTACAAAATATTATCATTTTAATGACTAACAAGTATATGAGTTGGCCACAATTTAGTTTTGTCGATTTTTTCGAATTAGATTTTAATTTAGCAGTCACAGACTTACTTCACAAACTAAATTTTAACAGAAACTAAATAATTCAAGACACCTTTACCATTATGAACAATAATGGAAAAGAAAACCCCTTATTTTCTTCCAATTTTTCCTAATTATTAATTAAACTACAGAGAAAATTTAAAGTCGAATCACTTACACATGAACTAGGTTAAAAATGTAACAATAAAGGTATCTTGATGTTTTTCTATCGGAGCAATACTTACGATCTGAATTTTAAAGAGCTTTTCTCACAGATATATAAAACAACCAGATAACTGACTTTGGTATTATTATTGTCGCTAACAAAATTGCTGTCATTCTTATTTAAAATATTTATGTCTTATAGTACTGATAAGGAACGATGTTATAATATTGAAATGTTATTTACATTGTACACTATAAAGTAAAATTTCAAAATAGAATCTTATCACCTATTATATCAGTATAATTTGTAAATATTCATCTCTTAGATAACGATTGGCGACCATTTTGTTGGCGACATTATTTTTATACGTATATGCTATAGCAGCCGGCTATCTTGTTATTTTATATATATTAGGTTTTTTTAATGATTTTTCTGGTTTTTCCCAATTATTTTGAAAACCACTTGTAAAATTGAATATAAACTGTTCAAATCACCAACTAGATCCCAAATTTAACAGAAAGAGTCTCTTGACATGTTGTGGTTTTTTTTGGAGCAACATTTATCGAAAAAAAATTATTAACAGACATAAAAAAATACCACACTTCGTAATAAAACCAATACATTTCATGCTTTGTTCAGAATTATAATATTATAAACATTTAATTTCGGCTAGTTGAAAAATGACTTTTGTAAACATTAAAATGTGAATAAGTTTAAATCAGGTTGATTTTGATCTTCGTATTTTGTTAATATATAAATTATGATTATTATATTATTATTATTATAACTACTATTACTACTATTATATTCGTCAATTAATGTGAGCTACAATTCGTGTGCATTTTGTATATGTATATTTGTTAAATCGTTGTTCCGGTTCATATGCAGGTATCAAATTTGTATGAATACCAAAATTATGGAAAATCGACAATAGTTAACCTAACCAGTCTACCGTTATCTCTGGAATACTCAGTCCACCTCGCTGATGGATTAAAAATTTGTGCTAATTACTCAATTAATTACAAATATTTATATTACATAATCATGTGTTTTGGAAATAATCTCCCCCAAAAAAAGGACGGACATACTTCATATATCACCCATATGTGAAGTAGCCAATTTTGTAGGCGGGAATAATTTGGGAAGGTAGGATACAAACGGGAATTCAATGTATATCTGTAAACAAAGATAAACCATTGTCAACGAAAAAATGATTCCGAGTGGAGTTCAGTTGATAGAGCTGCATTTTCAAAAATAAATATGTCATATTATGGTAAAATTTCAATTATTCCATTTTCAAAATTAAAATGTATTGCGTTTTTTATTTTGGTTTTTAACATTTGATGAGAAAACTTGAGAAAATCGAAAAATGACCTCTCTAAAGTGCCTCCCCAGTGAAATTTCTTTTTAAAGCAAAATTACTGGTGGAAAAGTTGTCCATAAAAAAAAAAGAAAGCCACTATTTTTAGCTAATATCTATATTTCCTACATTTTACTGTTTTTTAAACGTTTTTTTTCTGGTTTTTCTCATTTGTTGAGAAAACTACTGAGATTATCGAAAAATTATCTTCCTTAAGTACTTTTAAACACCGAATTCCTTTCAAAAAACTGCCACACATAAAAATTGGAGCAAGATCTCATATATAAAAAGTTGCCTACAGAACAAAAAAAAAAAAAATAATAAATAAATTTCTTTGTGATACCATAAGCTTTTTTGCTTCACTCAGAACGTAAAATATTATAAAAAACACATACCTTTTGCTTATTTGTTCTACAAAAACTGCAGCCTGCGTCTATACCGCGAAAGGCGATGAAAATGTTTACTCGACTTTCCCGCCAAAGCAAACAACACAAATTTGATTACTTGTATCACTTAAGCAATTAATCACATAAATATAAAGAAAATACCGATACGACGAATGTTTATAGATGGTTGAGTACGATATTATAATTTTTTTTTATTATTATATAACGGGAAGTTTTGTCAATTAAATTAGAAAAAAAAAAAACCAGATGTAATTTGTTCCGTTAATATATTCGATATCTGCGTGTTAAACGTTTGTAACCAAGAGAGTATACAGTGCACATAACACAATGGAATTACAAAAAACTAAAAAACTAAAAAACTAAAAAATAATAATGATAATATTACTTAAAATTTCTCAGTCGGTGTCGAGAGTACCTATGTCAAAACGAACCGTCCAAAACAAGGTAAAACTGACAATTGAATGCACACCGGACCACGCGGGCGGTTACCGAGGACTATACGAACCCTACCTGTGTTGGTTACCGAGGGTGGGGGTCACGACGCATTCTTACCAACGTTTGGTTAAGGCCCGCCTCTTTTTGATCCGTTCCGAATCGATGTTGATATATTTCAAACTAGTTGCCCACTTATTGGTATTTGCAAACTGAAATTGTTATTAATACATCAATTATTCTATTTTATATTTAATACCCGTATATATACACGCAAGTATTATACATGAACATACATTCATAAAATAGATAAGATAAATAATTATTATATTTGTATGTAACTATGTTATTAGTAAATATTCAGTATTTATTATGATTTTTTTTTCTCAAACAATATAGGTTCATGATTTATCATGATAATTATAATTGAAAATGAAATAATATTTTACAAATTGTTGCTTATAATTTTTTTTTATCAACACATTTGATATTTAATTAATCTATACAAAAAAGATGATTTAAAATTTAACAATACTTAAACTCAGGGATTTAATACAAATATTCCGAAAATGTTAAAAATAACAGAAATTAAAAATTAAAGAAAAAGTTGATACTAGAGACGAGTGTGACACTGTTGTAGGTGGAAAGTCAGGAAGGTAGAATAAATAAAGTTAATTAATTTACACCTGTAAACAATGATAAACAAGTGCTAACGAAAAACGATTTAGAGCGAAGTTCGGTGAGACGTATTTTGAAATACGGTAAGTTTTACGATTTTCGTCAAAATTTGATCTTAAAACGATTATGAATAAAAAAACGAATGCATTAAACTCAAATTTGATTTTTAGACCAATAAGGACAACCTGTAATGTACCTTGTGTTAAATTTTCAAGCATTTTTCTTAAGTCATATAATTTTAATAATAGATAACTACCAAACGCACGGGCGTTACCCATGCCAAAAGAAATAATAGATAAACTATCATTACGCTATTACGATTTACGGTCCTTCCACGGAATACCTTATTTATTTATTATTACATTAGTATTTTGTTATAATATATAATATCCACGGCTGGTTTACACTCGCTGTATAGGAATATTCAGTCCGTATAGTTTTTGTGTACGACAAAGTAGCTGGCATTATACGGACACGCGGTCCGCCTAAACACAATATTATGGGCAGGATCCGTTTGGACTAATTTTTCTGAACACAACCCGTTTGGACCAATTCTGAAGACCCGTTTGGGCTAAAAAGTACTACTTTTATACGGCCTGTTTGGACCAGAATTTTTTGACTGAACGTTTATTTAGCAAGCCTTTATGTACTAGTATTTTATTTGTGCTGTCTTATCGTATATTAGATCTTGATACACAGATATCTATTATATAAAGATAATAGATATAGGTTTATATTTAATGTAACTGGATTTTGGATTTTGTAAACCGAAATAATTTATTTATTACTTAATTTAAAAGTTAGTTATCGTAGTTCAACTGAACGTTTATTTAGCGAACCTTTAAAGAAATTTAAAAAGTATTGATCCAAACGGGTTCACTAAATCCTGGTCCAATCGGGTTGCAGTTTTATTAGTGGTCGTAACGTGCTTAGCCCAATATTATACCTATTGAGTTTTATCATTTTCCTGTCGTGCAGTATATAATATAATACAGACTGTCCCACGAAGATAAACCTCTTGAATACCTCCGAAGATAATAAAGATAATCAAATTCTGTATTTTTATTTTTTGCTCACAGGATGACTACAAATATTTTTTATTTGAATTCATTTTTTTTTTTTAATTGGAAAAAAAAATACATCATACTCATCCCTCATCCCTGTGAGTAAAAAAAAAAAAAACAGAAAATGGTAATCTTTATTTTCTCCGGAGATATTCAAGGGGTATATCTTCGTAGGACAGCCTGTATATAGTGGTTTGTGCACCCCGCGGGGACGATCCCAGAACGACGCACACAACAGAATATCGAATTCAATGCCATCAAACATTTCACCGGTCCCGATTCCCGGCTGTTACGTTATTATGGAAAAAAACTACGTACATTTGTTAGGGGATAATAATCTCGTTTTTATTTCAACTCCTCTATACCATTATATTATGTACATTTTCAAAAAACGGTCGAAAATGTATTTATCGTATTACACCGCGTGTCTACCTAGAAGTTGGCCGAGTCCCTTTCGGCTGTCACTCACAAACGAACGAGCGAAACATGATGGATTGAGGTAACATAAATAATGACGATTATTATTATTATTACTTAAATGTCGAACAGGGGGCCCAACCGTAGTTATTACATTTCGCTACTTACTTAAAAAGTGCCCGTTGAATTTTTACTCGGAACCCACACGCAATTCGCGTGAAAAAAAAATTGGTATTTTCGTTAAGAGTGTGTAATTAAATTATTACAAACATGCATATTAAATAAACGTTTGA